ACCGCACAACGAACTAAAGTGTAGTTCCAGTCGGGATTTTCAAAGTGTAATGCCACAATGTGTTTCGCTAATCGCCGATCTGTCTGCTCGTCGGCTTTGTCAAGAAGTAAATAGATCAAATCGAACCTGGAAAAATGTATTTTCCAAGTCAATATTGCTTCTCACTTTATTAATCGATAAATAAAGTCGAAAATTGGCGCATGTGAAATATTGGAAAAGTGTTAACCTGGACAAGAGAGTAGGAGGAAGGTGTATATTATCGATCACGGATAAACGAGGGTTGTAACGCGACCCGATTGGATTAGCACAAGCAAGTACTGAAGTTCTTGCATTTAGCGAAGCAATGATCCCGGCTTTCGCAATTGAAACTGTTTGCTGCTCCATCACCTGCAAAATAAAAATAAAAAAGTCGTTAAATAAAAATCAAAAATATCAAATTACAACGGTAAACTATTTGTTACATACCCATTGTACGAATTGAAAAGTTCAAAATTTTAATTAAATAAGAAGAAATATCGATCTTTAATCAAACCTCGTGTAACATGCTTCTTGCATTCTCGGACATTTTATCGAACTCGTCAATACAACAGATTCCACGATCACTCAAAACCAATGCTCCACTCTCCAAGACCTACAAAGCCATTTTTCCAATAAAGTTAACACTTTCATAATTTAAAAAAGGGTAAATTACTACCACCCCTGAGGTATTGTCAAATTAAAAAAAAAAAACCCTCTTGTTTGGGTAATTACAACCACCCCTCAACTATAAATCTTCTTACACGTCTACCCTAGCGGTTTCAAATTTACTGGAATCTTCTAGATTACATTGAATACTCTCAATTTTGTACCCGTTTTATCTCATTCGAGCTCCACATTTTGAAGCAAGATGGCCAGAAGAAGTGTTTTTTGGCTTGTATATATCAGATTGTGGTCCAACAAAAACTGTATTTTCGCACAAAACGAGTACAAACTAGAAAAAAATTACACGGAATCTAGACGATTATGTTGAATTTGACACCATAAGGGTGGAGATGTAAGAAGATTCATAGTTGAGGGGTAGATGTAATTATCCAAACAGAAGGGTTTTTTTCGTAATTTGACCATACCTCGGGGTGGTTGTAATTTACCCTTTAAAGAAAAAAAAAAAAAAATTGCCAACTGTACTAACCGTTTCACCGGTTTCCGGATCTTTGGTGACATAAGCAGTTAACCCTACAGCAGAGCTTCCTCGTCCACTAGTGTAAATACCACGAGGCGAAAGCTTGTGAATATACTGAAGCAGCTGAGATTTGCTTGTTCCGGGATCTCCAACGAGCAGAATATTAATATCGCCTCTAAAGCTAGCACCGGACACCAACTTCAATGCATTCCCGCCGAAAAGCTATTTGAAATAATCCGTTTTGAACAAGTACAAGCATTAACATAAGTTCCAATCAAAAAGAAAAAAAACATAAACCTAGTAACTGTCTTATATGTTATACGCACCTGGCAAAGAAGGCCTTTCTTTACATCGTCCAACTCCCATATGTTTGGTGCCAACGACCTCGTCAGTCTCTCGTAAATATCGGCCTCTTTCGATAGCTCCTTTAATTTCTCCACCTGCAATGAACACATAAGAATAATTATTATTTATTACACAGGAAAATCGAACAAAAAATTAATTTTTTCGATAAGTAAT